ATGAGTCGCAACGCTGCGAGATTATCTCGAAGCTGAGCAAGACGTCTTCTCTCAGTAAGAGAGCCTTAGCAAGAGAATATGGTGTTAGTGAAGGCGCCATCAGAAAGGTTTGGAAGAAACGTGAGACGATCCTAGCCCGATTTGCTCTTTTAACGGAAGAAGCTAAAGAGAAGACGTTCCGAGCTTCAGTTGGACGATTCACGGAGCTTGAAGATATGCTCTATTGCTGGATTGATAGCATGCGTCGATCCAGTCTCACTGTACCTCCATCCCTTGCCATGGTTAAAGCGGAAAGCATTGCATCAAATCTGTTAATTCGAGAATTTGACTTTAAGGCTTCTTGGCAATGGTTAAGCCGTTTCAGAGTGAGGCGTGGTTTGCAAAAAATGCTTCTTCATGGAGAAGGCGCGGAAGTCAACAAGACTGACCCGGAGTTGTTAGCGGCTTTGGAAGAACTGTACGAGATTATAGCTCAATACGACCTTGAAAATATCTACAACATGGACGAAACATGTCTTTTTTTTTTATTGCTTCCAAGATATAGTCTTCTTATGCCGGACGAGGATATCTCTACGACAATGGGCAAAAAGAAATCGAAAGATCGAGTTTCGCTTATCGTTTGTGCCAACGCAACCGGATCACACAAAGTTTCATGCTCATTAATCGGAAAACCGAAAGAATCAGCTTGCATTAAGGATTGGCAGTGGCTAATACCTTACTTTAATCAGGCTAAAGCTTGGATGGACGTAGAAACCTGTTGGAAGTGGTTCAATGAAATGTTTTTCCCAGAAGTGAAGAAGCGAACAGGACGGAGAGTTCTTTTGCTGATGGATAATGCTCCGGGCTATTTCCAAAGCTTCAAACGTGACAACATTCGCGTTGTGTTCTTTCCCCTAAATTGTTCAAGTTGGAAGCAACCTTGCGATTTGGGAATTATCGCAGCTCTGAAGAAACGTTATAAGTATCTATATCTCAAGGATGTTTTCAACTTTTACCAACTTGACGACGACGTGAAAGCTCGTAAATGAAATCAGGGTCGAAGACTTCGGTGAGGATCTACTTGGGTACTTTATGAGAATCCAGCGCAACTCTTAGATGCTGCAAATTACGTAAAAGAAGCCTAGGATTCTGTTTCTCAAGCTTCAATCAAAAATGCTTTTGAAAAGGCTGAACTCGATAACTTTGTTCATGCTTACGATGAGAACAACGAAGCATTTGCGGCAGCGGTTTTGGAGGATGTGGAAGAGCTTCTAGAAACAATAAAAGTTGTTGAACTTGTGGAAAATAATGACGATGATGAAGTTAATCCGCTTGAACAGAATGCTGAAACACAAAGCGGCTTCCAGTTCCAAGGGTTCGAATTACTTTATAAGCAGGTTCTTGACATCGAGGATTAGCTTCTATGCCCTGATGTTCAAATCAAAGCTGATGAAGACTTTGATGATCTGAAGAAATCATTTGAAGCATTTCAGGGCAAGCTACGGACCGTCTGTGTCATTCTTAAGAAGAAGAAACTTCAAAACCTACCCCAGATGATAATTTGTGACATGTTTGCCAAATAAATGTTGAATCCAAACTTTTTGGAAAAAATATGTGTACTTAGCCGGGGTGCGTAATTAAACGGATGCGTACTTAAGCGGGAGGTTACTGTATGATATGCGCGTGATCAAAAAGGATCTTGACAAGTTGCATGAAACTAGAACTGGGCTAGTGATTGAACAAGAGCCTTTGCAAAGTCGATATTGGATGAGATCCAATTGCATGGCTTTAACTTCGTTTGGACGGTTTTATTTTCTGACACGTGATGCAACTTAGTTGATTGCATTTGGAGTTTGGCAAATTTTAGAGTGTAGTGACGCGCAATATGTCGCGGATTTCCGCAATAAAGACACAAATTGTTTGCTTGGCGAAAGATTTTTTCAACTTCTGTTAAAGACTTGCATCAGGTTGCATCGATCTAAATGAAAACAAATCCAAAAAGGCTGGATGGGCAATTTGTGTTGCTTGTTGAGAATTCTACTTGTCGAGACAGTTGCGGCATCAAAAGATCGTGTACATTGTCACTAAGTCCTCAACAAAACTAATCTATCAATGCTGCTTCTCCCAGATGATATTGTAGGTTAGCTGCCTAAATTTTGAGGCGTAGATGATGGCTGAGCGGGTTCCTTGCTAGAGTCAACGCAGTTTGTTTGCTGAAGTCATTGATTTGTCGCTCTCTTAAGATATTGCTTTAAATTCCTCCATAAAGGCATCGAAGTCCTGCAAAAAAGGAGACGAGATTTTCAAGATGGGGAAATCATGCCGCAACTACAATCAGCCATCATCTACGCCTTGGAATTTAGGCAGGTGACCTACAATATCATCTCGGAGAAGCAGCATTGATAGATTAGTTTTGTTGAGGACTTTGTGACAATGTACAAGATCTTTTTATGACGCAATTGTCTCGACAAGCAGAATTCCAACAAATCTCATGCAAGTGCTGACGTTCGCATAGCAACGAGGATGTAACTGTATGATGAGGATCACATGACTAACAAAGCCTAAAAACTTAGAACGCGATCCATCAAAATTTTTTTGTAGACTTATCTTGGATTCAAAAATAGTGGGAGCAAAGAATACAACGATGAAAGGTTGTGGTTGAACAAGTAGACAATAAACCAATTTTTGAAGACTTGCGTTTTCTTTCTGAAGGTGTTGGAATACAGCGAGGATTTGATTGAGGTTGATGTTTTGTTTGGAGTTGTTCATTGTGACGACTGAGATTTGCGGTGACATTAACGAATGCAAGGAGGCTTAAGGCCTTGAGCAGATCAAACTCTTATGAATGAGCTAACACAAGAAAGTATGGCTACAACCAAACTAGGCCAAAGATGAACACATGCAAATACCAGACACAAAAAGTCAAGATGAATAGAGCACAACTTGACAGAAGTACATGACTTTATTAATCCATCAACTGATGTTGATTTGTTGAAGTACGTGACATGATACCTTCTTTTTATACTTGAGCTATTCCAGTGTACTTGTCTATATGAGTTGAAACTAGAATGCTGAGGTGTCAAGATGAGATTGCATAGCTGAGAATTCAAGATGTGGCAGCACTGCCGAGATGTCCGCAACGCTGAATTGCCAAGACGTGGCTGCGCCAAAGCCTTATACTTACCTTCCCATGCATGTGGCCTTGACAAGAAGTCTTGTAGTTAAATTTTAATGCATGCGGCCGTGATAGTTGTTATCTATGCTTTAGGTTATTTCACAAATTTAATGATACGGATTGCAATCTTGCATTGAATACTCAATAACACCAAAGGTAGAACTCTTCATATTATTGTGAAGCATATTAGAATAAATGTGTCATTAACTTAAAAAAACACTAGATGATAAATCTCATATGAGTTGAATTAATCCGATGACTAGACTTTGTAAATTAGTACACCTTTTTCATTTTATTATATTAACTCTTGGTGTAATCCATCCTTTTGGTTATTTTACAGTATTCAATGAAACTGATTGCAATATCGCATTGAATACTCCAAGATACCAAAGGTCAGAATCTTCAGATTATTGTGAAGCATATTCAAATAAATGTGTCATTAACTTAAAAAAACACTAGATGTTGAATCTCATATGAGATTAATTAACCCAATGATTAGACTTTGTAAATTAGTACATGTTTTCCATTTTATTATTTTAACCTTTGGTGTTATCCATCCTATTCCTTATTTTAAAGTATACAATGAAACTGATTGCAATGTCGCATTGAATATTCCAGGATACCAAAGGTCAAACTCTTCATATTATTGTGAAGCATATTCGAATAAATGTGTCATTAACTTAAAAAAACACTAGATGGTGAATCTCATATGAGATTAATTAACCCAATGATTAAACTATGTAAATTAGTACACGTTTTCCATTTTATTACATTAACCTTTGGCGTTATCCATCCTATTGGTTTTTCACAAAATTCAATGAGACTGATTGCAATTTCAAATTGAATACTCCACAACACCAAAGGTCGAACTCTTCAGATTATTGTGAAGCATATCCGAATAGATGTGTCATAAAAGCCAACCACATGGTGAATCTCATATGAGATTAATTAACCGAATGACTAGACTTTGTAAATTAGTACACATTTTCCATTTTATTATATAAACCTTTGGTGTTATCCATTCTTTTGGTTATTTCAGAGTATTCAACGAGACTGATTGCAATGTGGCATTGAATACTCCGCGACACCAAACGTCGAACTCTTCCGATTATTGTGAAGCACATTAGAATAAATGTGTCATTAACTAAAAAAAAAACACCAGATGGTGAATCTCATATGAAATTTATTAAATTAATGAATAGACTTTGTAAATTCGTGCACGTTTCCATTTTGCTATATTATCGTTTGGTGTTATCCATCCTTTTGGTTATTTCACACTGCTGCAATGTCGCATTGAATATTCAACGACATCAAAGGTCGAGGAAGGATCGATGCACATTACCGCGAGGGCAAGCCCGGCGCGGAGGTACACGGTGCCTCGAACACAAGGGAAGAGAAGGCAGGGGAAGAAGGAGGCGGACGGACTGCGGTGGGTCGAACCCCGTTCCGGGCGGCGCTGGGTGGTTCGTCGGCAGGCTGTCCAGGGCATGGAGTTGCGAATCGGCCGAGAAGGTCGCGATCGCGTGGCTTTTTCGAGCTTCCGATTACGACTGCGGGCCGGAGGACGCGGAGTCGTTCGCGTGCTTCCAACTGACCTGCTTTTTCAATCTTGCCAAGGGCTGCCAGTGGCGTGATCTGGCGCTCTGCTTGGCAGGAAGACGAGGCGGAAGGCCTCGTGCTGCTCTTCAGTCTTCTTTCTCGATTCGGAGGGCGGGGAAGGGAAGGGAAGGGAAGGGGGAGAGGCAGAGGAGGAGGAGGAGGAGAGAGCTGCAGGGGCGATAGGTCGAGAAATTGTGTACAGATTGCGCGAGGTTTAGGAATTTTTTGTGGGGATTTTTTTGGTTTCGATCGCGTGCTTGGGTTGTCGTCGTCGTTCGGTGTGATTTGTGGTGGATTCGGAGCTGAGCGCGCATGGCGTGGCAGAGATTGCTGGCCGCGGCATCGCGGCCGGGGCTGAGAAGTGCGCGATCTCTCGCTGCGCGGGGTTTCCATGCGGTCGGGGCAAGTGCTGCGCCGCGAGCGGCTGAGTCGTGGAGCAGAGTGAACCATCGAAGTCTGGGAGTGCTCGGCTCTTTCGGGTCTCGATCGATTCATGGGACGGGCGAGAAGCTGCAGGCCGCGCCCATCCCGCAGGCTGTCGCCCTGTCCAAGCTGACGGACAACTTTCTGGACGGAACCAGCAGTGTGTATTTGGAAGAGCTGCAGCGAGCATGGGAGGCCGATCCCAAGAGCGTGGATCCATCATGGGATTTGTTTTTCCGAAATTTCACCGGTGTTGCCGACTCTGCCCCGGGCCTTTCCGGCCAGACGATTCAGGAAAGTATGAGGCTTCTGCTTTTGGTCCGTGCATATCAGGTCAACGGGCACATGAAGGCGAAGCTGGATCCATTGGGGCTGGACGTCCGGACTCCCCCCGTCGAGCTGGATCCCGCTCTCTATGGTTTTACTGATGCTGACCTCGATCGCGAGTTTTTCCTCGGAGTTTGGCGCATGGCTGGGTTTTTGTCGGAGAACCGACCCGTTCAGACTCTGCGAGCGATTCTGGCCCGTCTAGAGCAGGCATACTGTGGCACTATCGGTTATGAGTACATGCACATTCCTGATCGTGAGAAGTGCAACTGGTTGCGCGATCAGATCGAGACGCAAGTTCCCGGTAAGTACGGCTCTACCCGACGAGCGCAGATATTGGACCGGCTAGTGTGGGGAACTAATTTCGAAAGCTTCATTGCTCAAAAATGGACTGCTGCAAAGAGGTTTGGTTTAGAAGGGTGTGAGACCTTGATCCCCGGTATGAAAGAGCTGATTGACTACGCTGCCGATCGGGGAGTGGAAAATGTTGTCATTGGAATGCCTCATCGTGGACGACTCAATGTCCTCGGAAATGTGGTTCGGAAGCCCCTCAGACAGATTTTCAGCGAGTTCAGTGGAGGTATCAAGCCTCCGAACGAAGCAGGTGGCTACACTGGTAGCGGTGATGTCAAGTACCATCTCGGGACTTCCTACGATCGTCCGACTAGGAGTGGCAAGCGAATTCATCTTTCTTTGGTCGCAAATCCTAGTCACTTGGAGGCAGTGAGCCCTGTTGTGATTGGAAAGACTCGTGCAAAGCAGTACTATTCTAATGACAAGGACAGAGGCAAGAACATGGCCGTGCTGCTCCACGGAGATGGTAGTTTTTCAGGACAAGGTGTTGTGTACGAGACTCTCCATCTCAGTGATCTTCCGAATTACACCACCGGAGGTACAATCCACCTTGTAGTGAACAACCAGGTTGCCTTCACCACCGACCCCAAGTCAAGTCGATCATCACCGTACTGCACAGATGTGGCCAAGGCTCTGAATGCACCCATTTTCCATGTCAACGGAGATGATGTAGAGGCTGTGGTACACGCATGCGAGCTGGCAGCGGAGTGGCGCTGCAAATTCAAGTCCGATGTTGTTGTAGATATTGTGTGTTACCGAAGGTTTGGACACAATGAGATTGACGAGCCTTCATTCACTCAACCAAAGATGTATCAGGTACCTACCTTTCTGGCTCAAAAAGATAAGTGCAGCAAAGTTGTCCTAGCTTGTTAAGTAGGTGGCTAGCTAATTTTTTCCTGCCTGATGCTTTGAAAACGATTGCTATTGTTGGGAACAATGTCACCCTGAAAAGAAAGAGATAAAGAAGGAATGCGAATCTCTAGTTATTGCTTTTTTGCCTTCTATTTGCCAAGAATTATCCCAATACACGACGAGGAGTAGGGTGGATATGGTGTATTGCTGCAAGTAGCAATCTGACGTGCCGGACTAAAAATTCGAAGTTCCAGCATACCTCATATAGAGGAACGGAGATTGTGATTTCCATCTTCTCTATGTAGAACTACTTATATTCCAACCTAATAATTACAGATCTCTTCGAAGACTCACAGAAGATACATATATCTCCCCTCATGTTGGACCTACAGGTTTTAGACTTTCACGGTGGGAAAAACCCGAAAATGGATTGCAGATTGAGGGGCGCTCTCTGAGCTCGAAATGCAGAAATGATTGAGAATCAACCTTTGGAAAGGCTTTCAGAGTCTCGTTTATATTATTACTAAACCATATTGAAAGAAACTTGGAAACCCGGTAAGAAACCGGGTGCCCCTCGATCTGCTTCAATCCTAAGCCGAACCGGTGAAGCTACACGCTTGACCGGTTGGTGCATTCATTAATTCAGAAAACAAATGTAATAGTCACTCGTCGATTACCCAAGATTTTAGTATATATGCTTTCAAGTTTAACCTTGGACACATTATACACGAAGTAAGTATGCATATTCAGAAACATCATTGGAGGTGCGGCTGATGACAATCTGGTATGCTTTGTTTCTTGCAGGTCATCAGGAGCCACCCTACCTCACTGGAAATCTATGAGAAAAAGCTCGTTGAATCTGGGCAGCTGACTCAAGAAGAAATCAAATCCATTGAAAACAGAGTGTTCGAAATTCTCAATGATGAATTCAACAACAGCAAAGACTATGTGCCCCGCACCCGAGATTGGTTGGCAGCTTACTGGGCAGGTTTCAAGGGTCCCGAGCAACTTTCACGAATTAGAAATACAGGGTATGGACATCAATTGCTTATCGTTGCCATTCTTTTCTTAGAAGTTTAGGGGTTAGGGTCTAGGGTTTAGGGTATGCTGCTTTGGAAGTCTGGTCAGTGTTGATTTATCAAAGTTTTAGAGGTACGTCCCATAAACAAACAAAGACGGCTAACAGGTAATTTTTCACTGCGTTTATTCCCCTAAGATCCTATTCTCACTTAAGATCCCATTCTCACATTTTGATATGTTTGGATGTGTTTCAGAGTCAAGCCTGAGATTTTGAAAAGTGTTGGCAAGTCTCTAAGCACCATACCTCCCGATTTCTCACCACATAGGGCAATAAAAAGGATCTATGAGCAGCGGGCACAGATGATAGAAACAGGGCAAGGTGTTGACTGGGCTACAGCAGAAGCACTGGCCTTTGCTACTCTGCTTGTGGAAGGAAACCACGTCAGATTGAGTGGTCAGGATGTTGAGCGTGGAACCTTCAGTCACCGTCATTCAGTTCTACACGATCAACAAACTGGAGCTAAATACTGCCCTCTTGACCATGTCATGATGGATCAAGAAGACGAGATGTTCACTGTTAGCAACAGGTTAGTCCTGCTCGAGATTCGATGTTCAGCAAAATTTACAAATCGTAATGCCCTGTTAACTAACCACTGAAATACATCTGCGTATAATTAACAGTTCCTGATAGTTGACGAATTATTTTTGTTTAATATTCTGTGCTGGAATGATGCAGTTCTCTTTCGGAATTCGGAGTGCTTGGGTTCGAGTTGGGTTATTCCATGGAGAATCCAAATTCTTTGGTGCTATGGGAGGCCCAGTTTGGAGATTTTGCCAACGGTGCCCAAGTGATCTTTGATCAGTTTCTGAGCAGTGGAGAGGCTAAGTGGTTGCGTCAGGCCGGTCTGGTGTGTCTGCTTCCCCATGGGTATGACGGACAGGGACCCGAGCACTCAAGCGCCCGATTGGAGCGTTACCTTCAGGTAAGAGCTTTTGGGTTTACGCATACAAAGCTTGAAGTGGGGAAGTTGGTGTTTGTGCATCCTCAGTCGAACGCATCATAGCTTATGAACATAGATGCAGAAGCCAGAATGCGGCAAAAATGGAGCCTGGGATACCTCCGTCTGAGTCTATCATTACGTACAAATATTCGTCGTTACTGGTGGTCATCCTCATGCCTTTTGTTAAGAAGGCAGTAACTTGCGAACTCGCTGTAGCCAGTTTTCAGTTTTCAGCTTTTAGAGCCCTTCAGTTTCATTTGATTCATACTCTTCTCTTAGCCATCAGTGTTTTCCCGTTAGAGTGGTTTGAGGTGTATGATACTACTATTAGTGTTCCTTCCTTGGTGGAGTTGCTGGATCGACATTTAGCTGCAGATGAGGGAAACTAATGTTTTGCAACAAAGTACAATGCGGTATTTTTATATTGTGCTCATGATGCTTAGTGAAAAATAAATGCGGCGTATCTTCTTACACCGATTCCGTGCTAAATTGCAGATGAGCGATGATAATCCTTATGTCATTCCAGAAATGGACCCAAGTTTGCGCAAGCAAATTCAAGAAGTGAACTGGCAGGTCGTGAATGTTACTACTCCAGCTAATTACTTCCATGTTCTTCGAAGACAGGTGAGCAGCCCTTTGCTGTCTAGTTAACAGATATTTGCGTTGTTTTAGTTCCTTTCCTGCTTTGACTTAGAACTGTATCTCTCAAATAAGACTCTTTTACACATGCAAAAGTGGCTACGTTGAGGATGCCAATGATGAGATTGACTTGTTTTGACAGATCCATAGGGATTTCCGAAAGCCTTTGATTGTGATGTCACCGAAGAATCTTCTGAGACACGCCGCCTGCAAGTCAAATCTGTCAGAATTTGATGATGTACAAGGACATGATGGATTTGACAAGCAAGGCACTCGTTTCAAGCGTTTGATCAAGGATTACAACTTTGATTCTACCCGGGAGGAGAGTGTGCGGCGTATGATTCTTTGTTCTGGAAAGGTATGGAGAGCTGCCTTTCTTTTTAATTCACTCCTGTAGAGCTTGAATCGGCCAAATTGTGTTGTTGTATTATCCAATCTTTCCACCGTTCATATTTTATTCACATCAAGTTTATCATTCTGTGCAGGTCTACTACGAACTTGACGATGAGCGACAAAGATCACAGTTGAAGGATCTGGCTATCTGCCGAGTCGAACAACTTTGTCCCTTTCCGTGGGATCTGATCTTGAGGGAAATCAACCGATATCCTAGTAAGCCACTGCACACCATACATTCACCCCTTCATGAATCCTGGAATCAAATAACACTCATATGTCTGAATGCTTGAATGCTTGAAGAGTAACAGCTCCATGTGCCTGTTTTATTCCGAGGGACTTCTAAATCGTCTTGGCTTTCTTGTCATGAGTTTATTGCCAAGATGTTCTTTGTATCGAAGAACTGGTTTCTTGAGTTGTCAGACCGTCGCTTTCATCACAATATCTGCATCTGTGGTGAGTAGGGTTTGTGCACCTTTTCGCACGTGTTCTCATCAATTCTATGACTTGTCCTTGCAGATGCCGAGGTTGTCTGGTGTCAAGAGGAGCCCATGAATATGGGTGCGTACTCATACATTGCCCCACGATTGGCTACCGCACTACGATCAGCAGGGCGTGGTTCCTTCGAGGACATCAAGTACGTGGGTCGTCCACCATCAGCTGCCACCGCAACTGGGTTTGGAAGCATGCATGTCGAAGAGCAAAAGGAGCTTTTACACAAAGCTCTGCAAGAAGCACCCATCATCAACGGACTCTCTAAAGCCCATTCGCCATTGAGTGCCTAAAATGCACACATTCTATCTGATAAATAGTCATACATATTATCAGCTAGTTTGCCGGGTTTGAAAAAAATGGCGAGACCGAGAGTTTTGATCTTTTTACAGCACCAAGCGGATGTATGCACGCATTTACTGGTCAAACGATCTGTAGTCACCGCATACTAGTGAGCTTTAGATAGTAGGGGTGTCCTTGATTCGTACCCAAGCTGCTAATTGAATTGTCCGCTTGCGATCCTGGGCCCAGGTATAAGATATTATACCTGGCGTTAACTGCATAGCCATTTGCTGTTACACTGAGAATACGTGTAGATTATACCGAGTTATGTACATTTGTCTTTCATTCATTACGTAGTGGCAACACCAGTTGTGTAACTGGGCATCTTGACTTTCGGAGTTCAGCCTTGGCAGTCTTGATTACGATTCTTTGAAATCAACTCAAAAAAGTCCATATTACAGATTGCAAAAGCCCTGAGCTTGACATATATTACGGATCTTCCTCTGTCCAATTATGGTCAGTTTTATGGGTGAAACCTGGATGAGTCTGTTGCGTTTTAGTTTGCATATGACTACTTCCAAATGTGGGCTTTTATTGCAACTAATTACTCCATCCAAGTCTATATCTGTAAATTGTCAAGTAGTATATTTCACTAACTCTATGGTACCGTGTTTACCTTGTAATCTGGAACTATCTTTTGTTAGTGGCCAATGAAAAATTCAAAACGCAAAGCCGTGTCGGACCTCTTAAAAACAAACCGTTGAAATGAAATTCTTTTAGAATCTAGTTATTCAATTACTCGGTGTGGTATTGATCTTTCTAAAGTACTTAGTGGAATAGTAGGATACAAACTTCTCAAAATTATTCCTTTGCATTGATTATTATTACAGAAAACAACGATTGCTGACGCAGGTATATAAGCACAGTTGGTTCACAGTTTACAGTAGATCACAATTGAACACTGTTGAAAATAATAGTGATCTTCCAAAATTAGACCTTTATTAGTCATTCTGCATCTAAGACTATATTCCAAAATTGTTCTTCCAAAATTAGGCCTTTATTAGTCATAGAGTGATACCTCCACACGTAGGATTGTTCTGTTGGAAAGCTTAAATCAAGTAAGCAACTTATGCTGCCATTTGCCACATGTGTGCAAGGAATGGTCACATTAAACCAGGCCTCCTAAATTCTGGGATTCAACTACAAAATCCCAGAATTAACCGAAATTAAAACTTGCGGCACCATAAATTAAGGATGCCGTCACTATCATAGTCCATAGTCAATCACGGTGCTGAGACACGGGGAATGGACGTTATAAGACGTCTCGAAGGAAAAGCTGACTTTTTACAAAGAAGAATCTTAAAGTGATTTCTGTTTTGCAAATATTGCTTATTGTGCTTGAAGGTGCGTGAAGCTTTATGATCTAATTCCCATGAACTTCTTACCGGATATCCCAGTCTATACATTCTGCATCTAAGACTATATTCCACTGGTTATTATCTTTTACATTTTTTGCCCGCTGAAGATTTCTCATCAATCACCAACCATTGTTGTTGTAATCCATATGTCCTCAAAAGGGTGTAGCATATCCCACTTGCGTCTAGAAGTTTGCTCCTTTATTGCAGTATTGATTTTGCGTACTCTTGAACGTGTGCAGTCACATTGGTTCGATGATACAATCTCATTTGAAGAAATCCAAGTGTACTTCACAATTGTTTCATGGCAGTGAGAGCTCGTGGTTTATACATATTCAGCTTCTAACACTCAAACTCTGTCACATATCTCACAGACTATTTATCTAAGTCACATTTAGACCATCATAGAGAAATAAAGTGCGTTTCTGAGTAAATCCCAGAATTAACAAAACTAAGAAAAATATAATCCATAATTTAAGTTAATTTTGGTTAATTATGGGAATTCTCGGGCCTTACCAGGCCTGCATTAAACTCAATCTCTCCGTCTAGAAACTTCAAATTAAATTCTATCCCAGGAAGTAGTGTGGATATTTTTAAAATATCTTTAAAAGTTTGTGATAGTGTAGGGATTTCAATCCCCATAACTTACAGAAAATCACAGTCCACACACCATAGAGACACAAGCATTTGTTGACAAGGTTCAGCTTGAAAGCCTACTCCCCGCGAACTACTCAATGAAGGCAGTTCGAGTATATATATTCAAGATCAGTTTCTTCAAACTTGACCTTCCTATCTGCCATTACAAGGTTTCAGTCTACTAATAATTACACACGAGAAATCACTACTGTCTCCTGAGCAAGACTAACACTTCCTCACAGGTGATTCCCTCCCGTAGGTGTCTCCCCGTTCTCACTATCGACTACTCTTGAAAACCTTATCACTGTAATGCACACCGCCTTAGTTTGCTGATTGGCTTTATATCATCCGACTTCTAACGGTACCTTAAACGGTAAAGATCAGATTGAATCAAAACCGTCAACTCCTACACAGCCCATAGGATATTGACCCATCAACGAGCTAACCTAAACGACAAATAATCTAAAAGGAAAAAGACAAACAACAAAAGCTGATAAATGTAAATCTCTCAGTAGGCCTTGAATCCATATGCCTTCTTTCACTTCCTCAGTGGCAACAATATACTTTGCCTCTGCTGTGAATAACGTCACAACAGGTTGTAACTGTGACTTCTAGCTCACGCAATTGCCATTAATCAAGAATTGATAAGCTATAGTAGATTTCTTGTTGTCTTTATCCCCTGCGTAGTCAGAGTCTACATAACTCTCCACCAGAATTGAACTACCTCTCTTGCAATACACCAAACCCACATCAGTAGTGCCTTTCAAGTACCTCAAGAGATGCTTCATGGCCAACCATTGATCCTTGCCAGGATTTGACATGTACCTGCTAAGTACACTAATGGCATGGGCAATATCAGGTCTTGAACACACCATAGTGTACATGACTGTGCCAACAGCACTTGAATATGGATTGCTTTGCTGATGCTGACATTGACTTGCAGAAAAGCTGAAATGACTTGCTAGAAGTTGAGTCACTGGCTTTGCATTTTTCATGGCAAATTTGTCAACTAGCCTTTTCAAATAGCTACGCTGTGATAATGCCAATGAATAATTTTTCTTGTCTCTGATGATGTTAATTCCAAGGACTCTCTTAGAATCACCTAAATCTTTCATATCAAACTCTTTGCTCAAAATCTTCTTGAGTTCTGATATCTTTGAAGTAGAGCTACTGATCAGTAACATATTGTCTACATACAGAAGTAGATAGATGCTTTTCAGTACCTCATTACCTTTGAAATACAAGCATGAGTCGTAGGAACTCTTGCTGTATACTTGCTCAAACATAAATGTATCAAAACGCTTGTACCATTGACGTGGTGACTGCTTCAGATCATACAGAGATTTTTTCAGTAGACACACCATGTCTCTGCCTTTTTTGTACTTCATATCCTGGTGGCTGCTCCATGTAAATTACTTCTTCCAGGTCACCATGAAGAAACGCTGTTGTCACGTCCATTTGCTATTATTCCAGATTATACTGAACCACAAATGCAAGCATGATCCTTATGGTCTTGTATTTAACCACAGGTGAGAAAATCTCATTATAATCTACTCCCTCGACCTGCGTGAAGCCCTTTGCCACTAGCCTAGCTTTGAACCGAGGCTACTCGGAATTGATCACACCTTCTTTGATATTGTAAAGCCAACGACATGTCACTGGGTTTTGATCCTTAGGTCTTGGAACTATATTCCAAGTTTTGTTCCTATACAGCGACTCCATTTCTTCTCTCATGGATTCTTTTCATTTTTCTGAATCTGATCCAACAATAGCATCTCGATAGTAGAGAGTCTCTTTCATCTAAATTTTCAAGGCTGATGTAAACACATAAGCAAAGATTTCAGAGTATGCGGAGAAGCCATATCTCTGTGGAGGTCTTGATAATCGTTTTTCTCTGTCCCTGGTCAGAATGTAGTCACATTGTTGTAGAGATTGCTCTGAATTGTTGTGACTCGTCATCTCTCCTTGCTCCTGATCAGTATAATCGCTTGGTTTAGTGACCTGATCTGGAGCTTGCACGTCTTGATCTTCATGGTCACTCGAATTTCTTTGGCCTTGAGCTTGTGGAGGAGTGACATGAATAGTTGGCTCCACCTGAATAATAATCTCTAAATTTTGTGCAGGGTTAGAGACACTCACAACACTAGAATTTGAATCAGTCCTTGATTGACAAGAAAATATAGTCTTATTAAATATCACATCTATCCTATTGATAATTTTGAAACGATTACCTTTCCTTACCCACAGCCGATAGCCCTTGGTATCTTGTGGATAGCCAAGGAACACGCACTTGATGGCTCTTGGCTCCAATTTTCATTGACTTTGATGAACATAGGCTGAACATCCAAACACTCTCAAGTGATTAAGATCAGGTGGCCTTGAACTTCACTTTTCTTCTAGTGTTTTGAACTCAATGGCACTTGAAGGGCATATGTTCACTAGGTATGCCGCTGTCACCATTGCTTCACCCCAAAAAGTCTTAGCCAATCCAGAATTAAACAGCATGCTTCTTGCCTTGTTCAGTAATGACCTGTTCATTCTCTCAGCAACTCCATTTTGCTGAGGAGTTAGTTTCACGGTTTTATGCCTTTGAATACCCTCATTGGCACAAAATTTATCAAACTCAGCATTACAAAACTCAAGACCATTACCAGTTCGTAAGAACTTAACTCTCTTTTCAATTAGGTTCTCAACCAGAATTTTCCATTCTTTAAATTTCTGAAAAGTCTGATTTTTGTGTTTCAACAAATAAATCCAAACTTTTCTGGAGAAGTCATCAATGATAGATAAGAAGTAGAGGTTACCACCATGTGTTGCTGTCCTTGAGGATCCCCACAAATCTGAGTGAATATACTCAAGTACTTGTGTAGACATGTGCTTTCCTCTTGGAAATTTCTCCTTCTGATGCTTTACCAAAATGCAATGCTCGCAGAATTCAAGTTTGCTAACTTTGTCCTTTTCTAGCAGATTTTGTTTGCTCATCAGCTGTAAACCCTTCTCACTGATATGGCCAAGCCTTCGGTGCCAAAGTGTAGCTTTGCTGTGGTCTTGGGTAGTGGCAACCGATGCAACTCCATGGAGTGTCTCTCCGATGAGATAATAGAGACCACCTATCTTCATACCCTTCAAAACAATAGCACCTTTTGCAATATACATATAGCCTTACTCTATCTTGTTAGTATAACTCAAGTCATCAAGAATGCCAATGGAGATTAGGTTTCTAGACAATTCAGGTACCCATCTAACATTTTCAAGAATTCTCACAACATCATCAGCCATCTTAATGCTCACTGATCCTATACCAGCAACTGAGCATGAATGGTTGTTACCCATTATTACCTTTCCTTCTTTGAGTTCTTGGTGGTTTGATAGCCAATGCTTGTTGTGTGTCATATGATAGTTGCAACCAGAGTCAAGTATCCACTCAGGAACCTTGAGCTTTC